CAATCTCAACAGATACATCGGCAGGTTATCTGACAACAGAACGGCTCGGAGTAAGGGCCTGCGACGGTGCTCCTTTTCCGAAGATCGTTATCTTATACCAAGTTTACTAATTGGGGACCAGATCACCTGATAAGGATCCGGTGGGCCACCACTCCCCACGTGAGCGTGGCTCGGCGGAAGGAGGTGCCAAGAATCAGTTCGTATTGATGGATCTGTTGGGAATTTATGCGATTAAGAGTACAGCCCACTAAATATTAAAGATAAAAATTACGAATACTCTTATAAACGACGGATGGCCATCACTCGGTCTCGTTGTGATGCCTTCCCAGCCACGGATGGCTTATGGGTTCGAGTGTGTTTGAGTGGTAAGAGTTGTCTTGAATAGTCAGTGTTCGGAGTCGATTCTTTATGTCAAACAGACGCCTGGTGGTCGTGTGGTGAGGGGGCGGTGCGCGTCATACGTATCAGTCGCTCCCCTGTCACCGTGGTGAACTGGTTCGAATGCCCGTTGATACGCTGTCGCAGTTCGGAACCCGGTCGGTAGGTGGCGCCCACAACTCGCTCGCAGCGTGCAGTGTTGGGTCGTCGCCAAACCGCGACCCTCGCCACTCCGGCGGCAGCAGAGACCTCCGACTCGGCAGAGGTTGACCCACGCAGGCCGAGTTGAGCTGTCAAGCGGGTCTTGCCCGCCTGCAGAGGAGATGGGGAGCCGCTTGAGTCGAGCCGACCCGCTGGTCGCAGCTCGCTCCTGAGCCGACCCTCCCGGTCGAGCTCGCTCCTGGGTCGACCCGCTGGTCGCCCTCGCTCCTGAGTCGACCCGCTGGTCGCACTCCTGAGTGGACCCGCTGGTCGCACTCCTCCTGAGCCCGCTTTCTCTGGTCGCACTCCTGAGTCGACCCACTGGTCGCACTGGTTTCCAATGCTCAGGATCCTTTCCTTTATGCCGAAAAATCCCCCTGGATCCCGCCCACAAGGCGGGGCTTCTTTCGATTTTTGCTGTGTCAGGATCTGTCCGTAGGCAGGTGTGTCCATGTGTGTGTCCGTACGTCCGTATGTCCTTGTGTGCATCACCCACGGTATATTCCGTTGTCACACTCCCTCCATAAACCCACGAGCAAACAATCAGATGTTACAAATTGCCTCGAGGTCGTCTCTCTGTCTGGGTGCAATATTATCTCTTGTCTGGCCTTCTCCATGAACCCAAAACACAGACATTACAAATCGTCTCATAGGGGTCTTTGTTCGTGTTGCACCACCTGGAGGGAGGGGCAACACTCTCTCCGACCCGGCGCACAAAGAAATGGTTAAAAAGTTTTAAGTTAACATTTGTCCCTTACTATTTCACAGTTATGATTCTGTATGTAACCTAAGGTCTGTCGTTTCCCATCGTGGTGCTTGACTCAAGTGGAGGTGTTTCCCCGAGCGTATACACACTCCTATCCCGCGCTGCGGGGATACAAAGACGGCCGGGATCTCCCTTTCCCTCCGACCCTGGGTTTAACATCGTTTTTTATTATGTATTTATATTCGACCTGGTGGTGATTCATCCCGTTATCCTGGCTTTTCATAAGTTTTACTTTGTCTTTTCATGCATATGCTTATTATTATTAACTTATTTCCGATATCTTAGGTCAAGGGGTAAGCTTCTTGATCCTAGGAATTCGTATTCCTTGGTGTCTGCATGGTTATATAAGCGGAATATAGTTTACGGTGAATAGCGTTAACATTGATGCTATGTACGATATTATGTATTGTGATGTCTTTAACTTAACTTGTTTGTCAGAGCTTTACTGACACGAAGTTGCATTTCATAGCCCCGCAGTCTTTGCCCCACCCTATCTCTGCTCGCCGTTGTTGTTGCCGTCCAGCTGACGCCGTTAACTCAAGGCCTCATTAATTTCCGTCACTCCTTGTAGGTGAGGGCGGTTGAACCTTGGAGTCAGTTCTGGTTTTTGTCTGCCTGCTTCTTCTTGTGTCCCCTGACCCCGGGAGTTATTATTCCTACTTTATGGCCTGTCGAAGCCCGACTCGCTGTTGCTGGGCTGGTGTCGTTCCCGGCTTTTTGCTTACGTTTGCAGTTCGCCGTGCTCTTAATTTCCTTCCCTCTTCAACCTTATATCGACTATTCGCTCCTGTCTGGGTGCGATTCAATTTTGACTTAGGAAGGTTCTGATTGTCATATGCTTCGGGTCGAGTTGTATAGAAAGTATTAAAGTATGGAAATAACATTTCATATTGACTTAATGATGGTGATGGTTCAGTAGGCGTAACTTGTGGCCTGGTTTAATTGGAGTGGGTGTGAAAATCAATAACTTTAGCCTACCCTGTTGTTAAATTCCGACTTTAACGTTACTTTAATAGCAATACAGAATAATTGAGCTTTTTGTCTTAACTAGGCGAACGCGAACTTCTGGTGACCCCCGCAGCCTTGTTGTCCAGCTGGGTCTGCCTCCTTGAGAGATATACAACACTCTTTTAAATCAGCTCACTGTGGCCATCCAACCTTCTGCTCTGGGAGTGTTATTCTTAATTTCAGGTCCAAGGCCCCCTCACGTTCAGACGTGCAGGGTTGTTTAAATCAGCTCCCTCCCCTGTGCACACAGCCTTGAGCTGACCCACTTATCTTTATCTTTGTTCCCTCAGCTGCAGGAGGACAAGGCGTGCTTCTACCTCCCTTTCTGTGTGCACGTGTTCTAACTAGCTCGGAATCCCTAAACACACAATCAGTGATGATTCCTGGCTTTCTGTGGTTGTGATTTAGACAAAGGCGCCTCTGTTTCTTCCATTGCCTTTGAGTCGACACTGCCCTATTATTTGCCCATGTGCTGAGGTCATAGAATTCGTTTTGACTTCAGTAATATTAACATTCAGTATTGGATTAGCAAATGGCAATGGTTCATTGATGTAGCTCGCAGCCTGGTCTCCAATTTGAGCGAGCGCGAGGATCGATAATTTAGCCTACTCTGTTGTTGAATTTCGAATTTTGACGTTACTTTAAAACCATGCAGGATGATTGGGCTTTTTGCCTTAACTATGTCTGGCTGACACTCCCACTGTCTCTGCCGCCTGCACGGGTGACATGTGCCCGTTCATCAGGCCTTATCTTTCCTTGAAGCAAGGTTGCAAATTCTGCCATCCTAGCCCTCCTCCAGTTCATTACTTAACAACACCTGGTGTTTTGCAGTTTGCTGCGCTTTGGTGTGTTTCATTCATTAAAAAACAAGTAAAAAGATAATATATAAAAATCTCAATTTTGGAAGAAGGGTTAGGATACAACATTCTGCCCTTTTAAAAATGACCAGTGGTCAAATGGCCACGGGTTATTTTTAAAAAAAAATATGTATACCCTTCTTCCATCATGAACCATCGATTGTCCTCAAGTTTTGCTGCTATTCCTTACAACGCGCGCGTACGTGTCACAACTTAACACGGTTATATGTGACAAGAGAGAGGAAAAAAAAGAAAAAGAAAAATTCTAAAGGAAGGTAAAACGATAAGGGAGGGAAAAATTATTCTATTGACTACGTGTTATAGGAGATATCGTTAAAAAGATAGTCTCTACGGTTATTCTTGGGTGGCATCATCAGGCCTTGGCTCTATCCCTGTTCCTGGGCTCGAATGGTAGGTGGCTTGTGCCTGCGATTAGTCTTTTAAGTTCGGCATTCATTTTGGCCACATGGTATGTTAAGGTTAGAATAGCCAGGACTAGTATGATCATCCCTGTTGCCCCTGTGATTCCCATCCCCCTCTGTTGATTTCGCTGATATCCAGCCACTTCGGTCGCCCAAGTAAGATCTGTTATGTTAATCTCTGATTCGCTGAGGGATAATTTCACCATATGGAATTCTTTACTGTTCAACAAGTTGGACAGAGTGCTGCTTATCTCAAACTTGTGGCCTCGGAATGTGTCTACTATTTCTACCTCCGCTTGGTGTAGGCTTTTGTCTAGGTTATATAATACCTTGTCCCCTATGCGTACGAATGTTCCTCTTGGTATTGTGACCAGTGCGACGTGGCTTGGAATCGGAACTTCCATGGTTATGGAGTGTTGATCGGTGGAAACAATTGCCGTGTCTAGAGGGGTGCTAATCAACCACTGGGCATTAGCTATCATGGCCACTGTTCCGGTTCTTTCTTTGGGTTTACTTAGCTTAAACTTGCAAGTTTCCTTGGAGCTTAGGTTTGACAGACCACACATT